TATTTTTAGCAGCTTTTTTTTTTTTTTTTTTTTTTTGCAGAACATAAGGCTTTTCAGCAGTGTGTTTATGGCATTTTAGCAAAAAAGGACAGAAATACAGGAGGACACAAGTCACCATGAACAAGTCAGCAGACTCAACAAATGGAAGAATCAGGCCCACACAGATTGTAGATACTGAAATTAAACAGAATATAAAATCAGTGTGTTTAATATGTTTAAACAAGTAAAATATGGTACAAAAGTATGACAGAGCAACAGGATAAATAACAAATGACTGTACAGATTTTAAAGAGAATTATGAGGAACTTCTAGAGATGAAAATGTAACAACTGAAACTGGAAACTTAACGGACATGTTAAACTGCAGATTAGACACAGCTTAAGAGAGAACTAACGAAATGAAAGTTATAGCTAAAGGAATTAAATAAAGGTTAATAGGCTGGAGGGCATGGAGTAGATATTTTAACTTATGCCTTAGGATCAGAGTTCCAGTGGAAAATGCAGGATAGACAAATGTCAGGAAACTGCAGTCTGGACTCAATGAATCAAACGGAAGATGAAGAAATTCACACCTATTTTTCTGAACAACAAAGACAAAAGGTGAAAAAAGAGATCTTTAGAGTTACCAAGAAGAAAAGAGCAACTGTCTTCAAAAGTTTAAATTATACTGATTTGTCACCCACTGTGACTTCTCAGCTACACTGGAGAGCCGGAAAACAGTAGGGTAAGTTCTTCCAGGTGCAATACAATCACCCTAGGGCTGCCTCCGTGGAGAAATCATCTTTCAAGAATGAGAGTGAAAAAAAAGGCAGTTCCCATCAAACAAAAACTGAGGTTTTACTGTAATAAGTCTCCACTAAAGGAACTTCTGAAGGTGTCATTTGGGCAGAAAGAATAAGACCCCAGAAACAAAAATAAATGGTGAACAAAGAAAACAGAAAGTGTACTTACAGAACTGTAAAAAATTACTGAAATCTAATCTATGCAGTTGAACCAAAAATAGTCACAAATAAACTGCAATGTCAAGAGGGAGTTAAGGTTGGTTGGGAGGACATAAGATCCTAATTTACTTTATAGTTAGGTTGGAAACAGCTGTTAAAATGTCTAAGTTCACCAGTGAAAGCAGAGAAATAGAATACATAATCTCCAAAGAGTAGAGGAGAAGATGGAATGGGGAAAGCAAAACAGAACAAAACTTTCCAAACTCAAGAAGGCAAGGAACAGAGTGTCAGGGAAAGAGGGAAGGAAACATAGACAAAGTGAGGCAAACAGAAATAAAACAAGACGGTATACATCAATCCAAGCTCTCCAGGTGAAGGATGAAGACTACCAGAGTGGATCAGAAAGAAATCCAGCCACATGACATTTACAAGAGACACATCTAAATATGAGGACAAGGAAACGGGTAGACTAAAAGTACGAGAAAGACTTGCCAGACAAATGCTAATCCAAAGAAAAGGTAGATTTATGTCAGGTAAAGTAGAGTTCAAGGCATAAATCATGACTGTAGAAAGATCATCACACGTGGATGAAAAATTAAAGCATGTTGAAGACATTACAATTCTACACTTTATTTTTTAATAAAATAACCTCATAATGAAAGAGCAAGATGGACAGAAAGTGGCAAATCTTCCACCATTATCATCATAACAGCTAACTTAGGGATCACCAGCCAGTGCCATTAAATATGTCACACAACTGGAAATTTTTAAATATGCTTCCAAATAAATCATAGGAAAGACTAAATAGTAAAAGAAAAAATATACAAAAACCTGAAAGTGAACAATAATAATATTACTATGTACCCAAATTTGTGTTTTTTGGAAAAACAGTACTTAAATGGGAACTTTGCTCCTTAAATGCTTATATTAGAAAAGAAGAAAAGTTGAAAGGAGGTAAACATCTGAAGAAAGAAATTTTTAAAAGGGCAATAGAATAAATCCAAAGATACTGACAGAAGAGGAAGAAGAAGAAGAAAAAGAAACTCAGTAAAACAGAAAATAAAAATAGAAAAGAGAAGTTCCATAAAGACAAATTTTGGTTCTTGGAAAATGCTAATAAAAAGATGATTTTCGAAAACAGATTCTGCCCCCAACCAAAGAAAAATGTATACATAAACCATATCAGGAATAAATAATGGGGACACAACACATTCCTTTCAATTACTTAGAGAACATTTATAAAAATTGACCATGTACTAGGCCATAAAATAAGCCTCAACAAACATAAAAAAAATTAAGGTGAGAGAATATTATGGGCAACTTTTGGCCAATAAATTTGAAAACTTAGGAGGAAATGGATATATTTCTAGAAAAACACAACACACCAGGACCAACCAAAGAAGCAGACAATAAAAGAACTGAATCAGTAGTTAGAAACTCTCTCACAATAATGTATTACAAAACACTTAAAGAATGGTTGATTTATCTCACATATACTTCAGATAATAGAAAAAAGAGCAACGCTCCAAAACTGGTAATAAATAAAGCAGACTACAACAGCCAAGAAAGGAAAATTACAGATCAGTTTCAATGAGTGTAAGTGTAAAATCTAAAGTAAAATGTTAACAGAATAAATTCAGCTATATACACATAAAATACATCATAAACTTGTTATATTAGTCCCAGGAATGCTAATTTGGTTCAATATAAGAAAATTTCATAATGTAATCTATCCATGAATGAATTAAAGGAGGCAGAAAAAAAAGTATTTGACGATATTCAATATCAAGTCAAGCTTAAAAAAAACCTCTTGGCAAAATAGGAAAAGGGAAATCCCTTAACCTGATAAAGGGTATATTATAATCATGTTTAATGGGGAAACATTTGAAGCACTCTCTTTCTAATCTAGAGCAAGATAAAGAAGTCTACAATAAGTGCTTCTGCCAGCATAATGGAGGTCATGACCAGCAGACGACGATAAGAAAAATAAATAAAAGGCACAAAGATTGAAAAAGAGAAATTAAGACTGCCATTATATGCTGGTGCTATGACTCTCTCTACAAAAAGGTCCCAAAACAGAAATAAAAAGAGAGTTTAGCAAAGCATCTAGCTCTAAAATTAATACATAAAAGTCATGTGTTCTATACTCCATACGAATTAAGTAAAAAAACACAATACCAAATG